AAATTTTCCTTTGCTTAAATAGTGAATTTCTGTAAAGCATCAAAGCCCACAGTGAGAGGAAAGCTAGTCTCAGCAGCAGTGATGGCCAGTGTATCAAATTCAGGAACTCATAACCACTGTTCCCACTGTTTTTACAAACTTCCAAAAGGCACCTCCTCCAAATGAAATGTCTTGAATTTCCAACAGCATGAGTCAGTTTTCTTTCCAGAAGTTATCACAGTTTGATTTTGAAAGCTGGTTGGTGCAATTTCTTTTGTAAACCCAACAGGGAAGTTGCATTATTAGTTGATTTTTTTTACACCTGAGCAAAGTGGGGGTGTCAGGAATAATGAAGCATCTATGTAGTATCTGGTGTTGATTAAGATAGAAACTAATCTGATGACAAAATGGTGTTGCTACCACAAACATTTCAACAAAAAAGTATTGTATATCACTGAGTATATTTTTGCATGATAGCATGCATGTGCTTCTACCAAAGAATCTGTGCCCTTGAGTTTCTGTTGCACAAGTTATATCTTTCACAAGCAAACTGCAGTGCAACTAACATGCTTGCATGCTTTCAATGAGTACTCATGTGATAGGGAAATAAAAGCTGAGTCCTTGACTTGACAGGCAGCCATAATGTGTTATAGTATAAAGCAGTCTTTCTCAACCAGAGTTCTATAGAACCCTAGGGTTCCTCCAGAGGTTGCTAGGTGTTTATTGAGCAGTGACCAATTTCTGTCTCTCAGAAAGGTAACCACTGACAACAATGATCAATTCAGGTACCTGTAAGGAGGGCATTCTTCCACTGACCAGCATTGTAAGGGGCCTTCTTTAGCTAACAATGTAAAGGCACTCTTTCACTGATAACCAATGTAGGGGCATTTATTCACTGACCAGCAATGTAAGGGGACATTCTTTCACTGGCCACCAGTATAAGAGGCATTCTTCCACTGACAAACAATGTAAGAGACATTCTTATCATTGACCACCAATGTAAGAGGCATTTTTCCCACTGATTACCAATTTAGGAGGCATTCTTCCACTGACCACCAATCTAAGGGGATTCTTTGAATGACTACCAATGTAAGGAACATTCTTTACACTTAACACCAATGTAAGGAACATTGTTCCACTGACCACCAATGTAAAAGGCATTCTCATAACTGACTACCAATGGAAGGGGTGTTCTTCCACTGACCACTAAAGGAAAGGTTGCTTTTACTCATTCAGGATAGGCACCATCCAGAGAACAATTTCTCAATGAGTGCAAAGAGTTCTCTGACTGCACTAGGCGGAACAGCAGGGTGATGATGGTGCCTAGTGCAATGATTTCCAGGTTCAACAGGGATTTAGCAGGTACGACACATTCATACCTACATTGGTCCAACCTGGACCAATTTAACTATGTAAAATTATGCATACCTGGAATTCAGCTTTGAATTCTGTTAATTCAATGCTTCCTTGTTGATCCAGTTAGTCTAGGTCAGGGGTCTGCAACCTTTAAGACATAAAGAGCCACTTGGACCCGTTTCCGAAGGGAAAAAAAAGACTGGGAGCCGCAAAACCATTGCAACATTTATAACAAATCCGACACTGCATATATTGCAAAAAGCACTCTGGTCATGAAGGGGGTTTAAGGGCCCAGTAAGCAAAGGGTTAATCAGGGCCACAGTGTATCTTCATAATCACAATCATAGCCTTAGGTCAGTGTGGGCAACCTTTTTTTTCAACTGAGCCAAATCTCGCCAAAACCACGATTGAAATTTATTTTGACAGCCACATTTTAAAAACTGAAAATACATCCCCCATATAGTAATTCATCCCCCATAGTAATTCATCCCCCATATAGTAATTCATCCCCCATAGTAATTCATCCCCCCCATATAGTAATTCATCCCCCATATAGTAATTCATCCCCCATAGTAATTCATCCCCCATATAGTAATTCATCCCCCATATAGTAATTCATCCCCCATAGTAATTCATCCCCCACATAGTAATTCATCCCCCATAGTAATTCATCCCCCATATAGTAATTCATCCCCCATATAGTAATTCTTCCCCCATAGTAATTCATCCCCCATATAGTAATTCATCCCCCATATAGTAATTCTTCCCCCATAGTAATTCATCCCCCATATAGTAATTCATCCCCCATAGTAATTCATCCCCCATATAGTAATTCATCCCCCATATAGTAATTCATCCCCCATAGTAATTCATCCCCCACATAGTAATTCATCCCCCATAGTAATTCATCCCCCATATAGTAATTCATCCCCCATATAGTAATTCATCCCCCATAGTAATTCATCCCCCATATAGTAATTCATCCCCCATATAGTAATTCTTCCCCCATAGTAATTCATCCCCCATATAGTAATTCTTCCCCCATAGTAATTCATCCCCCATATAGTAATTCTTCCCCCATAGTAATTCATCCCCCACATAGTAATTCATCCCCCATAGTAATTCATCCCCCACATAGTAATTCATCCCCCACACAGTAATTCATCCCCCATATTGTCTCAATTCACTTACCTTTGCTCCGCGCGTTCCTCTCGCTGTGTTCCCGCGCCGTTCTGGTCTTCAGGGCGGACTGAGAGAGGAGTTCGTCACTCTGCCCCGCCTACATCCTGGCTGCCAATGTTCCACGCTCCGCGGGCCGGATTTTTGAGGAGGGAGGGGAGCGGGCGCCCGGCACACAGAAGAGCCGCATGTGGCTCGCGATCTGCGGCTTGCCGACCACCTGGTGGGCAGTGTGCTCCGGAGCCGCAGCAAAGATGAAAAAGAGCCGCATGCGGCTCCGGAGCCGCGGGTTGCCGACACCCGGTCTAGGTGCATCCAAGAATCTGCAATGCACAAAAAGTATCCTTCAATAGTGACTGTTAAAGATGAAGAGGGACACACCTGTATTCATCAGAACTTTAGAGATACCCTTACATGCCTCTCAGGTCCAATGTACTAAATTACTATTGACCTTAAAATAACTACATACATTGTTACATAATCAATATAGTCATGCCTTACCGTGGTTTTAAACTTCAGACATGAAAAGTGAACAAAGCTTATCTCTATACTGTACTAGCCTGAATCCAAAGCATCAAAGTTTGTTTTTTTATCTGATCTCTCCTCTTTCTGCTATCTGCATGAGTCACTGATAAAACTCTAAGCCAATACCTCAGCCTCCTGCGAGATAGACAACCCCCCTCCAGCCCACAGCAGGTGACTCAAAGACTCCGCTCTTTGTTTTTCTCTATGATCCAATTAGGCTACATGTACACAAGCAGCTCCTAAACTCGCATTTAGGAGCTTTTGGCATTTTTTTGCCAAAGCTCCTAAACTCAACTCCATAAAAGCCTGTATGTCCATGTACACATAAGATTTTAGCAGAGTTTAGGAGCTGCCACGTTTAGGTGAGGTTAAACCTCACTCTTCTGAACGTGGAAGAATCACGTTTAGGATAGCAGCGTTTTGACCGATGACCGCTTGGAAAACACAAAAAAGCGGCAAAAATGCGGTACCGCGGTTGCCGTGCTTTGCCATGATTTTGACTCAATTTGCGTTTTTCTGCTGCCGGCGGTCAGGGTAGACTCCTGTACATGAAGCCTTAAAGGGGAGTGTGTCCCTTCCTTTTAATCAGTTGTCAGATTTTATAGAGCTCTGTGCTCTAGTTCTGCAGTATGTGCGACATCAGGTCCTTACACAGCTTGTGCAGCTGAGAGATGCTGTGATAAATGTGTGTTTTGATAAACCATAGAGCAGTGTTTCTCAACCTTTTTACCTTGGAGGAACCCTTAGCAAAACGTTTGAGATCTCGGGGAACCCCTGAAAAACATTTTCAGATCTACAGCTCACGGAACATTGGATCTGATCAGCGAGCTGTAGATATAACAAAAATTAACATACAAATGCAGGGCAGTGCAGGGAATCGGTTGTTGTAAAATGCCATTTTTCCTTGATCCCCACTAGCCCGCCTCTCATCCATCCCAGGTGATATTACATTTTACAGCCTGGGACAGACAGAAGAGGAGGACCTGTGGGGAAGAGTAGAGTAAATTACAGTATGCTTCCCTGCACAGCTCTGAAAATCCATAACACAGGGTTTCTCACATGGGGTTCTAGTGCAGATCAATATTGTAGTGTCTGTATATCCACCCAATGTTGTTTTTAATACGCACTGACAGTGTGCATTGATACTGAATGTCTCATCTGTAGTTGTAGTTCCTGTGAACTCATAGGGTGGCATCGAGTGAAGTGCAGAGAGTGGGAACACATGTCTGAATCAGGAGGTGACATCCGGTGTATGGCAGCAGTGACTGTGGAGGGGGAAAGCAGAGAGTGGGAGCACATGGATTAATGTAGCAGGGGGGGACATCCAGTGTATGGCAGTGCTGAATGCGGACTGCAAAGAGGGGGGAGCGGAAGGCAGGGGCACATGGCTAGATCAGACTGAATGTAGCAGGAGGTGAGATCATAATAGCTTTTTTTGTACAGTTATGGCATAATATAAAGCTAATATAATCTCACCTCCTGCTACACTCAGTCTCATCCATCTGTGCGCCCCTCCTATCTTCAGTCTGCATCACTACTGCCAAACACTGGATGTCACCTCCTGCTTTAGCCTTGTGCTTCTTCTCGCTGCTCAACCTCCAGTCTGTATTGACTGCTGCCCTACACATACAGTGTTCAGTCCTTCTGTACCCCCTTCCCTACACTCTGCATGGCACACCTACAGAGTCATCAAGGAATCTCACCTCGTGATCCAGTCATGGGCTCATGCCTTGTGCTCCTTCTCACCGTCTTACGATCAGCGCTGCCATAGAAAGCTCCCACTCCCACTCTGTGCAGTACTTCCGGTGCCTTCCTCTAAGTTCTCAGGAGCCAGAACTTCAGAGGAGGCATTGGGTATCAATGCGTGCTGACAGTACTGATTGTCAGCACGCATTAAGAACACTACCAGAAACAACATTGGGCAGTATACATCCGCCACCAGGGGTGGACTGACAACTCATGGGGCCCCCCGGGAAATAGGGGATCATGGGGCCCCTGTGTCCTTGCCCAAACTCAAAAAAGCCTATGAAAAAGGTACCAGGGGCATCTCATGGGGCCCCCTACTGACCCCGGGCCCTCGGGCGGTGCCCGAGTTTCCAAATGGTCAGTCCGCCCCTGTCCGCCACTATGTTGATTTGCAGAGAAACCCCTGGGGACTTCCGCGGAACCCCGGTTGAGAAACACTGCTTTAGAGGATAGAGGGCTGCAGATAAACAAGTACAAGTTATGTATAAGGATTTGTTTCATGTCTGTGTGTCATCTGAGGCTAGTCACTTCACTGGATTTAAGAGTTTACAAGCACTTTAGTGCTCATTAAGTTCCACCTCTGACAACTTCTGCACCTACAGACAGGAGGGAACAATACCTTCATTGCCTCCAAAGCCAATCAATTCAAATTCCTGGAACAAAATATTACTCTCTTAGTCTTTAGCAATTACATTTCTTTTATTTACTTACTAGCTACTACTGCAATATACCATTCTACAGCTTAACTATTTTTACTATAGAAAAACCCTCAATAAAATTGAGGAACAAAATCTATATTCTCCTATGTGCAGATGAAGTCTGCTTGTTCTTTTAAGTCGTTGGAATAAAAAAATTGCCAAATCTGTTTATTAAATTGCCTCCCAAATATGTTTTCTCCAAGCCAAACCCCCCAGTCTTTCACTGTAAAAATATTTTTCAGCCGTTTTATTAATGTAGTTTCCCCCATCTGAACCCTCTCCAAAGCTGGACTTCATAATCTACTATATATGGTGGTGTACAAGTGATGTATACAGTGGTAATACTATGTTAAACTCCCTTTTTTACTCATCCCAAGATTTTTTTTGCATTTTCAGCAGTTACATGGCATTTGGTGGTGTTGCTTAGCATACTTTTTAAACAGAATTCGAATTCCAAAATCCTTCTCTGACTGTGTTGCCCAACATTTAATGCATATGGAATAATACTATCCCCCTGCCTAGTTGAATAACATTACTCAATATTAAATTTAATTTTCATTTTACCTGCCCATGTTGCCATTTTGTTAAGATCCTTCTGTAATATATCACCAGACTTCTATTTTTTTTTTTCCATAAACTTTTCTTATTTATGTTAAAAATAAATTACAGGTGCAAGTAGCATAATGCGTTTTTGAGAGATGTGTGATGTAATAGATATTGTGTTCAGGTGTAAAATCCAGAGTGTATGTGGTAACTAGCCAAATTATATCTGCCAAAAAGGTTGGAGCTGCTCACAGGCCCACCAGATGTGGAGCATTGTACCCACTCTTTTGCCACATCTCTAGCTTGTGTATTGAACTGTGAGTGAGAACTTATGCAAGAGAACAGGGATTCTGTACCAATTGGTTTGAATTTTATAACTATTTTCTTGGATGGCCACATTGAGAGACCATTTATGGGAGTATTCATTTATAACAGACCAGTCCTCATCTGTAAGGGTGTGCGCAAGTTCCCTCTCCCATGCTTGTCAGGTACAATCCAGAGACAGGGAGGCAGACTGAAGCAATACAGAGTAAATTGTAGATACTAGGGGGTTTATTTACTAAAGCTGGAGAGTCCAAAATCAGACTCCCTTCTGCATAGAAACCAATCAGCTTCCAGGTTTCATTGCCAAAGCTTCATTGAACAAGCTGAGGTTAGAAGCTGATTGGTTTCTATGCAGAAGGGAGTCTGATTTTGGACTCTCCAGCTTTAGTAAATAAACCCCTAGGTGTCTTTGAGGGTATTTGTAAGACATAAAGATTCAAACTACATGCAAGGTTTGGTTACCAGCCTTCTAATTTCATCATCCTAATTATTAAACAGAATACTATTTCTGCAATAGAAGAAAGTCTTGATCCCAAGAATTAGGCAAAACTCCTCTGAGTCTGTAACAACCTCACTGACTAAATTGCTGATGAAGCAAATTCTAAGATGTGCTGACATTAACTTCCCCAGGGTCAGTAGCACTTAAAGCAAGCATAGCACTCCTACTTGGCAGATCTATCACTCTTTTGCTTTAGGTTTAGGGAGTAGTTTGAAGCCAACTTTATAGCAGAACAAACAATTTAATCTTTTTCTTTAATAATTTTGAAGTATGTTTTTATTTTTTTTACATTTCGTTTGCATTCTGAAGCAATTTGTTTATATTTTTTTTGACAGTTGCTTTTACTGAAACTGTACAGAAGTATAGCAAAGGTGCATAAGAATGAGCAAGCTTATGGCAGTCAGTAGACAATACACATGAGATTCCAATGCTAAAGATCATACAGAGTCAACCGGTCATCCTGAGTCAGATCAGAAGACACATACATATTACATTGTAGACAGCCATCATCCACCAAATAAGATGTAGGAAAAAGATATAAGGGAGCGGAAAAGAAAAGAGTGGAGAAGATAAAATGGAGGGAAGGCGGGGGGGGAGAAGGGAGAAAAGGGAAGAGGAGGGAACCAAATGGAGGGGGCGGGGAAGAGGAGGGAAGAAAAAAAGGGGGGGAGAGGAGGAGGGGAGGAAAAGGGGAGGAGGAAAGGAGGGTACAAAGAGTAAAAGCAAACCATAAACATAAAGAATAGCCAATCAGACAAACGATACAAACTGGACATACCCGCAAGATAAAAAACCCAAGTGTTAGACCGTAAGGCTTTGAGCATCCACCTACCCAGCCCATATTCTATCAAATTTAGCCGGACAGTTACAACTCATTTAAGTAATACAATGGAAGTGCACCATTGATTGCCGATTTCCAACTGTCGGCGGGGCAGACTGTTTACATTTCAGCAAGATTTATCTTCTAGCATAATAGAGAACATAGAAAACAAACAATCTATTATGCTTAGACGTCTCCACGAGCTTCAGGAAACCCAACAATATAATCAGTGGATCCATGGGAATATACAGTTTACTAGCAGTGTTAATAGTATCTAGCACACTGGCCCAATAGGGGAGAAGCTTGGAACATTCCCCAAACATTTAGTGAAACGTGCCCACCTCCATATCACAGCGAGGCAAGTTGCCAAACTACCAGGATATATCACAGCCAATCGCCGCAGTTTGTAATATACTCTATGGATAAATAGTAGGGAGGCACTGTAAAAGACAATCTTCCCAATCATCCTCCAACAGAGAAGGGAGGTCTGTGTGCCATTAATCATAAAGTAAATGCATTCTAGGGGTAGATAGGGGAGCAACAGGGAATGGAGAGAGGACAACGGTTTAGGCAAGTCCTCCATTATCAACAAGTTTTCTAAAGGGTCAGTCTGAATGGTAGGTGGAAAAGGAAATTGAGTGGCCACCGCAAGACGCAATTGTAAAAACCAGAAAAACATCCTGTTAGGCAGGCCATGATTGCGTTTGAGTTAGTCAAATAGAAGCAGGACGCCACTAGGCATAATATGGTGCAATGTTTTAATGTCATATTGAGCCCACACAACAGGATCCGGCATCGTTGCCCAAGAGCGGCGTGTGAGAGGAGTAAGAGTTATGTACACTAAATTGAACTCTAGCCTGACTCCACACCCTCAGGGTCATCCACATGGGAAGAGTGATGGCCAAGTTGGACTTTGGACCTCTATGAATTAGGTTACAAAGTTCTGCATACAAGCCCAATATTGCCGCCTCCAAGATCACCGCAGCATTATCCCTAGGCCAGGAGAGCCACCAGCGCACTGTGAACAGAACAGCTGCCCAGTACTATAAAAGCAGTTTAGGAAGTGCTAGGCCACTGCGGTTAATAGGTAGGTGCAGAGTAGAACGGGAAAGTCTAGGGGTCCTTACAGCCAAAATAAACCCAGAGACAACACCATCTACACGACGGAAAAAGGATTGCAGGAACTGCACCAGCGTATGCCGAAAAAATAGATAAACTTAGGTAGAAATATCATTTTAAAAAGATTAACCTGGCCTATGGTGCTAATAGGAAGGGAAGACCAAGCAGTACATTTAATCTGCAGCTGTTGCAGGAGGGAATGAAGATTGTCCGCTAAGTACTTCGTCAAGTCACGCTGCACCATTACACCCAAGTATTTAAATTGACAGACCAATCTAATAGGGGCAAAGGAAATGTCAGGCAAGGGCCCCAGCACAAGAGGAAACAGTATTGACTTCTCCCAATTAATGTGTATTCCGGAGTAGCTGCCAAAGGGATCGATAAGACTCAGCACCTCTCTAAGAGACAATTTACAGTCCCTCAAGCATAAGAGAGTGTCGTCCGCATACATGGAAACCCTATCCTCCCAGTCACCCACCGGTAATCCATGTAAGGAATTGGAAGAGTGGATCAGGCAGGCCAAAGGCTCAATCATCAAACAAGCCCATTGAAAGCAGAGAGCCCTGCCGAGTGCCCCTGTGGAGAGCAAAAGGGGGGGGAAAGGATATTATTAGTAGGTACTCTCGCAAGTGGCGCACTGTACAGGCATCTAATCCAAAAAATGAAGTGAGGACCAAACCCAAAGCGAAGAAGAGTTTCCCATAGATACTCCCACTCGACCGAATCGAAGGCCTTCTTGGCGTCCAGGGGCAGCACCACACCAGGGTCACCACTGTCACAAGCCGCAGAAATATGGGTGAGCAATCTCCGTATGTTAATATCAGTACCCTTCCCCGGCATAAAACCTGTCTGATCATGGTGCACCACTGCAACGATAACCGAACCCAGTCTCCTAGCAAGCACCTTAGTGAGTACTTTCACATCAGTGTTTAACCTCCTCCCGCCTGGCCTATGGCCGAATGGCAGCCGGCAAAAACACTCACCTTTCCGGGTGGACGCTCTATGGCGTCCTTTCGGGCATGCGCAATTTGCGCGCCTGCAGAGCCGTTCAGCGGCATGATCTGTCACCGGCCGTGTACCTCGGACACGGCCGATGACAGATCTGAGTACCGGCCCCGTTGCCGGTACCATGTGACCTGCTGTGACCAATCACAGCAGGTCACATGACAGTTGTATACAATGGATGGCTTCATTCATGCCATCCTTTGTAAACTAGTGTGTCTAGCTGTGAATGGTCACAGCGATCACATGCACAAGCTGGGCCAATCAGAGCCCAGCTGTGTCATGTGATTAGCCATGGCCAAATCACAGCTAAGCACAAAAAAAAAAAAAACCCTGAATGAATCGATGTCATTCAGGTAAATGCTTGCTTATAGCAAAGTAATTCTTTGCTATAAGCAAATTGTGTTAAAAAAAAAAAAAATACTGATCACTTCCCCAAAGTAGTACAATGTTACCATGGTAACATTGTACTACTTTGGTCATAGTTAAATATGAAAAAAAAAAATCTTAAAAAAAGAAAAGAAATGTAATAAAAAATTAAAAATAATAAAAAAAATTAAAAAATTTTTTTTTTTTTTCATACTGTCACCAGTCAGTGTCCCTGATCACCGCCATGCCAGTTATATGATGATGCTGTACTGCACTGGTGATACTATGTAAAAATAAAATAGTGAAAAAACTTTTTTGATTTTTTTCATTTTCCGACAAATTATGACAAAACAAATACAACTTCAAAAAACTCGCCATGCCTCTTATGAAGTACGTCGGACTGTCTACTCTGCAAAAAGTGGTCATTTGGGGGATATCTGTACTGTCCTGACATTGTTGGACCTCAAGAAATTAGATTGGCTGTCAGTACTTCAGGATTGATCAATATTCAGATATATCCCATAGAACTCTATAAACTTTCCTACAAACAAACTAAAAAATACATCCTAATTTGGGTTATTTTCACCAAAGACATGTAGCAGAATACATCTTGGCCTAAATTTATTAAGGACAATTATTTATTTGCAAACTTTTATAACAGAAACAAAGAAAAAACGTGTTTTTTTTTCAAAATTTTTGGTCTTTTTTTGTTAATTTAGCAAAAAATAAAACCCCAGTGGTGATTAAATACCACCAAAAGAAAGCTCTAGTTGTGTGAAGAAAATGATAAAATTTTAGTTTGGGTACGATGTTGTATGACCACGTAATTGTCATTCAAAGTGTGAGAGCGCTGAAACCTGAAAAATGGCCTGGGCAGGAAGGGGGTAAAAGTGCCCTGTATGGAAGAGGTTAACAGGGAGATCAGCCGATAGGAGGAGCAGTGAGCCGGGTAATTCCCAGGCTTCAAAATCACCACTATCACTGCCTGAAGCATGTCGGAGGGCAGAGTTCCTGTCTCAAGTACTGCTTTAAAAAGTGTTTGAAAATGGGGAGCTATTTCCTCAATGTATGTTTTATAGAATTCAATTGGAAAGCCATCTGGGCCCAGCATTTTGCCAGATTGGAGAGCGCCAATCGCCTGATGGATCTCCTCCAAGGAAATCGGTGCCTCAACTGCTCCCTCTGGACCAGAGAGAGAAAAAGATGGCAGGTCAACATGATCCAAATAACAGGGCACATCCTGTGGCATGAAGGCAGCTTTGGAGGAATCTAAACTCGCATTGATTGAGTTTGGATCAAGGATCCTGGAACCATCTTCAGCCTGTATAAGGGCTATATTGGATAGGGCAGATTGTTCCCAAGCCAACCAAGCCAGTAGGTGGGCCGCTTTTTCTTCCTGTTCAGAAATACGCTGTTTTTGATGCAGCATAGCCTTCCTGGAGGCCTCTATGCATAACAATAAAGTTTATCTGGTAGCCAGTTGTAAGTCGTGGTGACTAACAGGATCTGGATTGAGCACACAGTTGGATTCAGCTTCTTGTACCCTCCAGTCCACACAAGTCCACTTCCTCTTGCCATCTAACCTGCAACCCCCGTATCAGGGTCCAATACTGGCCCATAAGAGTAGCCTTACAAGCCTCCCAGGTAGTAGTAGGCAGAGCAGTATTCTCATTAGAGTCCCAATAATGCTCTATAGGGAGTTCACATCACGATCAGTGATCCAATACCAAGATAACCTCCAGACTTTTTCCCCCGGAGAATCATTAATACTTAATTTAAGGAGTGGAGCATGCTCAGAAATCCTGTGTGGAAGGATGGAAATTTGTTTATATTTTTAATTAGTCTATATTTTTTACATTTAGTTATAAATAAATGATTTATAGCAAGAGTGGGCAATAGTTACCTATGCTGTTGTTTTATAGGGGTTTTATATTGTCCTCCTAATGTACCCAATTGGAAAATACCATTGCTTGGCAGTGCTGGTTTTCTGAGTTAGTTTACCAGAAATGAAAATATTTGCATGGCACTGACATGCTCTTCCTATCCTTGCTTGGGTTTTCTTAAGGTTTTCCAGCTCCAATAATCTAAAAACAAAATTCTGTGTTTGTTTTTTTTTTTTAATGGCAGTCCTGCTGTTTTGGTTTGTAAATCTTACAGTAGAGAGAGGGCTATTAAAAAAACTGTGTAAAATGCACTAGGTATGCCAGAATGCAATTTGTAAAAATGGATTATTAACAACATACTGGTCATGCTAATGTACTGTGAGTTGTAGATATAATTATTTTTAACAGGGGTTCCCTAATACCTGAAGATTACATCAAGGCTTCCTCAGTGGTAAAAAGAATTCAAAAGCCTACTCTAAATCATGGAAAAAATTAAACTACCTATTGTATTCCCCTGTAGAATGGTAACAAATTCTAGCATTTGAATCCTGATGCTGTCTATGTATTTATGCAATATGATTGTTCAATGTCACATTTTGTCTAGATTAATTAATCATGTTTTTCAAAGATCAAATGCACAAAATTTGCTGTCTGACCAGTGGATTAATGTTTTCATTAACCACTTGCCCTCTAGAGGATTTACCCCCTTTCCTTGTGTCATGGCACTGCATTATTTTAACTGGCAATTGTGCAGTTATGCAACGCTGTACATAAATGAAATGTATGTCCTTTTTGTTCCCACAAATAGAGCTTTCTTTCAGTGGTATTTGATCGCCTGTGTGTTTTTTATTTTTTGCGCTATTAAAAAAGAAAGACCGACAATTTTGAGAAAAAAAAAGGTTTTTGACTTTTTGTTATTAACCAATTGCCTACCAGGCACTTATACCCCCTTATTTACCAGGCCAATTTTCAGCTTTCAGAGCTGCCGCACTTTGATTGACAATTGCACGGTCATGCAACATTGTACCCATATGAAATTTTAATAATTTTTTTCTCACAAATAGAGCTTTCTTTTGGTGGTATTTAATCGCCACTGGGCGGTTTACTTTTTGCGCTATAAATAAAAAAGTGAAAAAAATTTGAAAAAAAAAAAAGTTTCTTTGTTTCTATTATAAAATTTTTCAAACAGGTAATTTTTGTCCTTCACTAATGTGCAATGATGAGGCAGCACTGATGGACACTGATAGGTGGCACTGATGGGCACTGATAGGCAGCACTAAAGGGCACTGATAGGCAGTACTAATGAGGTGGCACAGATAGGCGGCACTGATAGACAGCACTAATGAGGTGTCACGGATAGGCGGCACTAATATGCAGCACTGATAGGCGGCACTGATAGGTGACACTGATGATGGGTACTGATAGACGGCACTGACTGGCATCACTGCTGGGCACTGACTGGCGGCACTGACTGGCACAACCCCTGGGCACTGACTGGTGGCACTGACTGGCAGCACTGCTGGGCTGCACTGGTGGGTGGCACTGGTGGGCAGCACTGGTGGGTGGGCACAGGTGGGTGGCACAGGTGGGCACAGGTGGGTGGGCACAGGTGGGTGGCACTGCTGGGCACATGTAGGTGGCACTTCTGGGCACAGGTAGGTGGCACTGCAGAGTGGTGGCACGGGTGGGTGCACTGCTGGGCACAGGTGGGTGCACTGCTGGGCACAGGTGGGTGATCTGCTGGGCACAGGTGGGCGGAGCTAGTGGGCGCACTGCTGGGCACAGGTGGGCGGAACTTGCGGGTGGCACTGCTGGGTATCGATCATCAGGGCACTGATCATCAGTGCCCTGATGATCGGTGCCGATCCCCGCTCTGACAACTGCCGCTTCTCGGCAGTACTTTCCTCACGATCTGACAGCGTGAGGAAAGTGCAGCCGAGAACCGGCACTTGCATTTCCCTCTGATCAGCGTGTCATTGTACACCGCTGATCAGGTGGTAAAAGGCCGCTGTGATTGGCCTTTTACCACATCACGTGATCAGCTGTGTCCGTAGGACACAGCGATCACGGAGATCGCCGGGTGCGCACCCCCTGGGGCACACAGGAGAGCGCGTTCTGGGGGGACGTCATATGACGTCCACTCAGAACTGGCCGGCCGCAGTGAAGCCGTCATTCGGCTATCTGCGGTCGGCAGGTAGTTAAACATATCCTGTAAAAAAAATTTAAAAATCTTAATTTCCTCATACACTTAGGCCAAAATGTATTCTGCTACATGTCTTTGCTAAACAAAATCCCAATATGCGTAAATTAATTAGTTTACTTGAAAGATATAGTGTTTGCAAATGGCGGTATATATACTGGGATTTTTTTATTTTTACTAGGAATGGCGGTGATCAGCAACTTATAGCGGGACTGCGGCGGGCATTCTGACACTGGGGGGAAATGACTTGGTGACACTGACATCCCCAGTGACACCAATACAGTGATCAGTGCTAATAAAAAGCACCAACACTGTACTAATGGCACTGGGCAGGAAGGGGTTAACATGTGGGGGATCAAAGGGTTAACTGTGTGTGTTTTACTGTGTGCTGTGTGTGTGTGCTTCATTGTAAGCACACTGGCTTGCATAGCTCTGTGCAGGAGCTGACAGGGGAGAGAACTGTATTGTAATCACCGGCTGGGACCTGGTGATTGACAGTCGAGGCCACGAATAGCATATATACGTGATTTTGCACACCCGTGCCGCTCCGTAGCAGTATTACTGCTATAGGGTGGACGGGAAGCAGAAAAAGAAAATGAAGAAGCAACTGATTGTGTCAGAAACTCTGATCAAATTAGGCCAAATCGTGTTTCCTTTGTTGTGTTAAGCTATTTTTCCATTTTAAAGATTGCATGAAATAATTGGCTCTATGACTAATTGGTCACTTTTTTTATTATAATGTGCACAGCCAATGTTAGCCATATTAGTTGAAAGGTGATTCATTCCATCAATGCCCACCCACAATAGAAACATAACCTTTTAGATAAGGATTTGCTTTGCTAAATAAATTAATTTTAGTCTTAATTTTGTAGTAAACAGAGCACAGCTATGCTGGGATTATATAATATCATCTGTAGAGAAGCTTGCCAGAGTGCCTGGACGAGTATTCCGTTAGCTTACAGAATGGTGTTTTTGTATGAAGGTCTTGCAGCCTGTGACATAACGATGCCTCTGTTAGATTATTCACGTAATG